CAAAGGTCGCCAAGTACTGACTAGACAATCGATGAGGTCCGTAAGTTGGCCACCAACTGCTCTCTTTGGTTGCTACGCGCGTTGTTAAGGCTAGCAGTAAACAGTCAGCTGATTGGTGGATCGCAATTGACGTATATATACATATATAGAGCAGGAATGAAAACCAGATTGACAGTGCAATAGTCGAGTGTGCGAGTCAATAATGACAACTGCTTGTGGACTTTTATGAGAACACTCTATCGATGAACCAGTATTTGTAGGAACGAACTGAGCAATAGCTGGCAACATAAATGAACAACTCATACAAATACCTCGCATTTAACGATAGTACAACATTCCTATTTCTTGAGAAGCCTGTAATAATCACCACGAGGATGAATTAAGAGGCAAACTTTGTGCAAGCAAAACTCTCCTCTAATTGACAAAGAAGCATTCAAACACAAACACAGTTGCCATCCTAGTGGTTTGTCTGTCACCAAGTGAAATCGACCGGGCCCTAATCATTCAAGTCCTCAGAGATGATCGGAAGCCCACTGTGGTCTTAGTACGAAACTGCATTTTATCGGGACGAAAACATTCATGCAATCTATTTTTATGTTCGAACTCCAGACGAACTGGATGAACCTTCTTAATTACTGACCGGCTGCGCCAAAAGATAAATTGAAAACTTTCCTTGGCAAGAAGGTTGCCTTTGGTTTGCTTAAAAAAGGGCGCATGTCCACAGATCGGTGTAACGCACTCTTTCGCAGATAAATGTGTGAATTATATACACCATTCTGACACTTCTGTGAATGGGATGGCGGATGAATATACGTGCATAGCATAGAATCCAGGTGATATTAACTAATTTAAGAGGTTTGGGTGGTTGATTTAATAAGAACTGGAAGCACCTGGAAAGAAACTAATGTACTGAATTGAGGCAGCACCACACCTTTTTTCGGCATTCGCGAATCCACTGAGCAGGAATCACAGCAAGTGAGGTTCTTCGATTGCAGTCCGACTGGAACTTTAGAGTAAGAACACCGCTATGGAACCTATCCAGGGTGGATCGAATTCACCCCGGGGTAAACGACTAGGCTGTTAATTTACGATATTTCCAGTTTTGCCAGTGTAAGGATTTTTCAAACTCTATCGCCCAGAACTTTTATAAAGTTGCAGCACCCTCCACAGCTCCAACCTCTAATTCCTATTGTTACTAGCGCTCGAGTAGCTGACACTTGATTATCGACCTGATCACCAAACTCTACCACCTAAGGGCGTTGAAAATTGGCCCTGTTGAAGCAGTTGACAATTTTGCTGCAAGACAACCTTTCTAAATCCGTACGCTCATCAACCACAGATGTCCATATTGAACTAACGTACCAAGATAGACGTGGTATACTCAGTTTATGGAGATTGGTCTTTCGAGCCACACACCACAGCCGGTTGAAGTATCTTTGAATCAGTATCACTGAACAAATGCGCCCGTATTTGTCTATTCCAGATTGTCGATAAGCAACACCACTTGTCTTTGGGGGCTGGCGATAACCTCTATGGTTCAATGTTAGGAACGCAGGGATTCTTCATTTGATCATTCAAGCTGATTAGACGCAAGCGCGTAGCCTTAGTTACTGAACTACTGATCTTGCGAAATAGTGATATCTCGGTGAGTCCAGCAATTGAAACATCAGTTTTAGCCTGGATCGGTTAAAAGTGGACGATCCTGACACCAGTGACTATAGGCCTTATCGCTTCATAACTAGGTTGCCTCTCGACCAAGTGGTGAGAGAAGGTTGAACCCTTATTTGTTAAAGGGCCGCTTCGGTGTCGTAAACTAAGAAAAACTCCGTGGTGGGCAGAACAGCGTTAATAGCATACGATAGCGTTTGCCTTCTCTATTCATTTCGGATGAGATGGAACACAATGAATTTCAGTTTGCAACTAAGTCATTCTTATATATTGAGAAAGACCATGAGCGGTTATCTGATGCGCAAGACAGAGGCTACCCTTCCACACTGGCCTTAGAGAAGCTATTTTCAACCGCTGTAACTCCGCTGATTTGTGTGCTGGAACAAGATTATCACTAACCACCCAAATCCAAAGGGAACACTTTTATATTCCTTCTGAAGCCAATTTCTCATAAAATGTATACAAATCCACTGAGCGTTCAACAACAAGCAGTAACCATTCTTGTGCTAAACATGAACAAGCGGAAGACATACTCCAGCGCTTGGCGCTATAGGATGAGCTGGCGCGGGAACCAACTGCGCGCTCAATGTTTGTCAGGACCGAAGGTTCACGGCGGGAGGGAGGGCGGCTGCTGATTGGTGGTGAGTCATTGAGCCAAGTCACCCAGTCGTTGGAAGACGACTGAACAACTGAGAAGAAACTATGGGACGTGAGCATCACTGTACGAAGGCGGGAGCGAAATAGCTACATCACTGCTTTATCGTAGACTATTTCGACAATGTACACCTACACGTGATGTGCTAGAAAGGTTAGGCTATTGAATTCTGACGACTGTGAGAGTCAACGAATGGATAAACTGACGAGAACCAGGATTAAACCCATCGGATAGTAAACAGCACTGAATTTCTCTATATAGTGCTGGAACAATTCAGCGATAAAAGCGTTCTCCATAACCCAAGGAAGGGATAAGGATCCAGCCGTAAATGCAAGATGGAATCTTTAAAGCGATATTGCATTATCAAACGTAAAGACCACAGGTAAAAGGGAATCAAAGAATCTGTGAAGTGACAAACAGGTTGTTAAGTTCAGACGGAAGCCCAATCACTCTCCAAAAGCAATAATAAACGGAACCGACCATCTGCACTGGTTATGCCAGGTAAAGCGCACCGCGCCAACTCTCAATCGCAAACAAGTCACCTTCAAGACTCAGAGTGTACTCATATCCGAAAATAAGCGGGCAACTTGCAGGTAACGTTAAATTTACAGAGCTGCCCAACCTGAAGACGCATCTGTAAAGGCAAGATCGGACTTGCACAGAACCAGTACCTCTATGTTGTATTACTAGGGAACCATCCACATTAATCCCCAACGGTTAACTTGTGCCCCTACTTCACCAGTACCGACTAAGTATTCGCGACAGCCAGGATGGTTCGTCCTGGAATTTCCCTGTAGATATGATTGCTTGGTAATTGCGCACAGGAGGTGTGACATTGTACTGAATTATACATTAATTAATGGGTGGCATGAGTAGCTTATTGCCTAATGCAATTCCAGTACTTGTTATTATAGCATTACGCCTGATGGCACTCATTGAGCCCGTTCTGGTTAGCAGATCGATCGTCCGGCCTTCACTTTCACAGCTCAGTCACGGTGCACCTATGCGCAGGCGTTCAACTACTATGGCTAAGCTAGTCTGCGTTGAACGACACCCATTATATATATATATATATA